CATATTCTTCCATTTTTGTAAGTCTCTTTTGGTTTCTTGTAGTAGTGTTTTGTAGTTTTCTTTGTATAGGTCCTTTGTTTCTCTGGTTACATTATTCCTAGATATTTCATCCTTTGGGTGGCTATTGTAAATGGTATTGTTTTCCTAATGTCCTTTTCAGCACTGTGGTTTTGGTATAGAGGAATCCAACTGATTTTTGTATGTTGATCTTTGACCCTGCCACTTTGCTAATCCTCCAATGAGGTCTAGTAGCTTTTTTTTACTGAATCTTTGGGGGTTTCTATATAGAGCCATACCAGCTGCAAATAGAGAGAGTTTTACTTCCTCTTTGCCAATTCGGATGCATTTGATTTCCCTGTCTTGCCATATATATAGCTCTTGCTAAGACTTCCAGCACAATATTGAAAAGGAGTGGTGACAAAGGGCATCCTTGCCTGGCTCCTGTTCATAGGGAAGGCTTTCAGTTTCTCTCCATTGAGAGTAATGTAGGCTGTTGGTTTTGTATATATGCTCCTGATTATGCTGAGGAATTTCCCTTCAATTCCTACTTTGTTGAGTATTTTTATCAGGAATGGATGTTGGATTTTGTCAAATGCCTTCTCTGCAACAATCAATATGATCATTTTTTTTTTCTTGTTTATATGGTGAATTACATTGATTGTTTTTCTAATGTTGAACCATCCTGATATGAATCCCACTTGGTCATGATGTATTGTTTTTTTTGATATGCTGCTGGATTCTGTTGGCTAGGATTTTGTTGAGAATTTTGGCATCTATGTTCATGAGGAATATTGGTCTATAGTTTTCTTTCTTAGAGCTGTCCTTCCCTGGTTTGTGTATGAGGGTTATGCTTGCTTCATAAGATGTATTAGGAAGTTTTCCATCCTCCTGTATATTCTGGAATAATTTGAGTAGAATTGGTGACAACTCTTCCCTGAATGTCTGGTAGAACTCACCCGTGAAGCCTTCTGGACCTAGACTTCTTTTGGTTGGGAGTTTTTTGATAACCTGATCAATTTCTTCTATTGTTATGGGTCTGTTCAAGTCTTCTACTTCTCTGTGGGAGTTTAGGTAGGTCATGTATTTCTAAATACGTATCCATCTCTTCTAAGTTTTCAAATTTGTTGGAGTACAACTCTTCATAGTATTCTGTCATTATCCTTTTAATTTCCTTTGGTTCTGTTATGATATTGCCCATGTGGTTTCTAATGCATGTTATTTGTGTCTTCTCCCTCTTTTCTTTTGTTAGGTTTGCCAATGGTTTGTCAATTTTAGTAATCCTTTCAAAGAACAAGCTTCTTGTCCTGTTGATTGTTTCTATAGTTTTCCTGTTTTCTATCTCATTTATTTCTGCTCTGATCTTTATTATTTCTTTTCTTTTGGTGGCTGTAGGTTCCCTCTGTTAGTCTGCTTCTAGTTGCTGGAGATGCTGTGCTAATTTTGATTCTTTCTTCTTTTTGGATGTGTGCATTTATTGCAATAAACTGTCCTCTCAGCACCACTTTGGCCATGTCCCAAAGATTTTGGTATGTTGTGTTTTCGTTTTCATTTGTTTCTAGGAACTTTCTGAATTCACGTTTAATTTCTTCTATTATCCAGTTGCTCTTCAGCAAGGTGTTATTCAGTTTGTATGTATTAAATTTTATTTCCTTGGTCTTCTTATTGTTGACTTTTAATTTTATGGCATTGTGGTCTGAGAAGATGCTTTGTAGTATTTTGATGTTTGTAAATTAATGGCAGCTTGCTTTGTGAGCTAACACATGGTCAATTCTGGAGAAGAATGTGTATTGTGCTGCAATTGGGTTGAATGTTCTGTACACGTCTATGAGGTCAAGTTGGTTGATTGTGTTGTTTAGTTCCTCTATAGTTTTGTGGAGTTTCTTTCTGGTTGTTTTATTACTTTTCGAGAGTGGTGTATTAATATCTCCCACTATAATTGTAGATTAATCTGTTTCTTTCTTCAATTCTAGTAGGGTTTGCTTTATGTATCTTAGTGCTCTTTCATTTAGAGCATAGATGTTAATTATGGTTATGTCATCTTGCTCAATTGACCGTTTAATCATGAGATAGCGTCCTTTATCTCTTATGCTGGTTTTCACCTTAAAGTTTATTTATTTATTTTTTTCCTTAAAGTTTATTGTATCAGAGATTAGTATTGCCACTTCTGCTTGTTTTTTACTGCTGTTAGCTTGGTATATTTTTTTCCATCCTTTAACCTTTAGTCTGTTTTTGTCTTTGTGTGTAAGTTGTGTCTCTTGTAGACAGCATATTGAAGGGTCTTGTTTTCTTATCCATTCAGCCACTCTCTGACTCTTCACTGGTGCATTTAATTGATTGACATTCAGTGTAATTATCGATAAGTATGGATTAACTGTCATTATGTTAGTTTTTTTGTGGTGCTGTTTGTTCCTTTGTTCTGCATGCCTTCTTATGCTGAGTTCATTTTTTGTGCTACTTCTTGTCGGTTTTTCTTAGTTTTAATGTTTCCTTGTTCTGCTTGGATCTTCATTTTCATGGTAAGTTGTGAAGTATTAATTTCCTTTGGGGTTACCCTATCGTCTATTAAATTTTCCCTGCGGTTAAGACAGTCTATTGTATCCTGCAATCTTCTCAACCTCCTCACCACCTGGATCTCTGTGATTGACTGTCCACTGGCCTTTGCTGTGCAGGCAGAGATAAAAGGTCCCAACCAGGTCAACGTTAGGGCTGGGTCCCAGAGTCAGATGTTTTAAGAAGCAGCCTGCGAGTTTCCTCTCTGTACTGCTGGAAGACTGTGGGTGCAATGTTGGACACTTTTGGGGTGTCCTCTTGCCTGCCTGAAGGTATCTGGGCTGGGCAGTGAGGGTGCGACTGAAAAATTAAAAATGAAAGATGAAAAATTGGTCACCACCTCTGCTTGGTTGCAGCCAAGAACAAAATCTTTAATGGAAGAATTACAGCCAGAATGCTCCTTAGAAGGAAGGATGGCAAGACTTCGTCTCTCATACTTTGGATATTTTATCAGGATGGACTAGTCCTTGGAGGACATCATGTTTGGTATAGTCGAGGGTCAGTGAAAAAGAGGAAGACACCCAATGAAATTGCTTGACACACTGGCAGCAGTAGTAGCCTTAAACTTCACAATTGTGAGGATGGGGCAGGACAGGGTATAAGGCCCAACTGCCCTATAAGAAAGGATCAGGCTGAAGTGGGAAATGTTTAGCATCAACAACTCCCCTGGATTCAGAAACCCTCTTCCCCCTTAATTCTGGCTAAACCTGGCTTCTGTAACACTGCTTATGCAAATTCCTCACATCTGAGTGGGCCTGCCTTACTCACAGGATACTGTGGCCAGTGGCCAAGGCTAACCTTGAGAACATCCAGCCAAAGTTAATCTTGAAAACTAACTGTCCCAGCAAATGTACTCCTATCCCCAAGTTAATCTTGAGAAGTAACTGTCCCAGCTGATGTACTCTTAGCCCCCACTCTAACAGCTCATGCATACAACATACCCTTGGTTTGTACAAGATAATGCTAGATTGCCTATGTATAAATACTCTTTGAAAAACTGGGTCGGGGCTGCAGTTTTTCCCATTTTTAGGGAGTCTGTAGTTGCTGGCCAGCTGATAAAGGCTTCCTTATTGATCCTGAGAGTCTTGAGTGGTCATCTGGGTAAATTGAGGCACAACAAGGGCAGTGTTTTGTTATTTATAGTGTCATTCTGAGTCAGAAATGACTCTAGGTCTTCTAACAATAACAACTTTACCAGCAGGAATGCTGAACCACTGACTGAAACTGGATGGTGGTTTGAACCCACAAGAGGCATCTTGGAAGAAAGGCCTAGTCATCTACTTTTGAAAGGTAACAGTCTTTGAAAATTCTAAGACTCACAATTTTACTCTGACATATTTTAATTTAACTCATGGGGTTGCCATGAGTTAGAACTGACTTGATGGTAAGCAATAACTGGAACTTTTCCAGTAGCTAAACCAGAAAACTGGATTTTCTTACCTCCTCAGTTTTCCGTCTGAGTACACTGGACTGTTTCTGGAAGTTTCTTTCAAGTTTGAGCAGTTCATATTGCCTCTTACGTTCCTAAGAAGGGAAAGGGGGGAGAGTCAGATTTTAATTGCTATAGTCAGCTAAAATAAAACCTTAAAACTATATGAATAACTTTAAACATAGAATCAGCAGAAAGTCAATTCCTATGAAGTTGAGATCAGACATACCTCCACTCTCCAATCCCTTCATCAGTTCTGACACCAGTCATCCCTCCTATGACCCTCAATTCTTCTCAGCTGCATTCAAAAATCCATTGCAATGGTTACACAGAACTCACAGGATACAAGTCAGGATTAGGATTAACAGGCTACAACTCAAGATCAGGATGAATGCAGGCAGTCTCCCTTTTTCAGTGTAAGACTACTCTCTCAGCTCCTCTCAGCTCTGTAGGCTTCCTCTTGGGTCCCCTGAGGAAATATCCTCTTAGGTCCCTAAGGATAGGTTCCTCTTGGTTCTGTCATCTGTCACCACCAACTCTGGAGGAAGGTCCCTTCTGGGCCTGTTGTATTCTTCTATGTTTCTAGTCCTTGACTTATATAACACTTCCTCTAGGGGGTTCCTTTCTTTTTTTCTCCTTTTCCTTTTGCTTCTTTATGTCTCAAAAAATCTCTGTGGGGTTGGCTTTATACATATATATATATACAAATTCCTTGCCAATTTCAAAGCATGGTCCCTCCTATCAAGGCCACAAACTGATAAAACCCTTGGTTGGTAAGCCACAGATACTTCATTTGCATAGTATATTGGCCAATCCCTGCAAGGTGAATCCCAATAATAGGGTAGGCTTCAGAGTAGGACCAGACAAAAAATACCAAACCTCATGTTTTCAGCTTACCCAAGAAATGTCTAAAAACTTGGATAAAAGTCACAAACCCTCTGGGGTAGAAACCTTGGGCAAAAATCTCTCAAGCTGTTTATCCAAATATTCAAAGCAAAAGGTTACATAAAGGAACTCATTTCACCACAGTAAACAGAGACGTTTAAGATACCCTCAAAACATTCTATGAATTGAATTGTATTCCCACAAAAACTATGATGATGGATGAACCTTGAGGGCATTATGTTAAGTGAAATTAGTCAGTCACAAAAAGAGAAATACT